ACACCACAAACGGGTACTTTCGGGTTGTAAAATATGGACGGCGGTGCTCCATGCGGTAAAAGACTCGAACGATTAATGCTACCCTTATGCCTCCTTTGAGTAGTTTTAGCCATGGGGCTTGGCACTGCCACCATTGTCTTTGTGCCAAAAAATATCCGCAGCGGCTGCCGCATTCTAGTACTAGAGGGTTGTCTCGAAAATTCCGCAGTGAATGCGTCGGGTGTCTACATGGCTGTGGACGCTCTCTCCTTTTTAAAACGTCAAAAAAAAAAGGGGGAGAGAGAACCCCGAGCCCTTGCAGACCCCGGGAAACGCGCGGCGCGGGTCCGAGGGGCTGAGGATGGCGCGGAACCGCGCAGGAAGCGCAGAAATTGGGGAGAGGCTTTTGTATCTGCCAGCACAAATAGTTGCGTGCGGAGCCCACTCTTGCATATTATCAGCGCTCTTGCAAATTTTATTATCTGAAACAAATGTGCCAGTGAATTTTAAGCAGAAAATCGACATCAAGACTGTAGCTAATTTTAAACGGACAGTTTGTACAAAAGATATTTCTCTTCTTCCCCTTCCCCCCCCCCCGCCCCCCCCGCAGCCCCCCACCCACAAATGAAACGTAACGCCGCTACAAAAAGTATGATAATTTCGTAATTACAGTTGATAGTGAAAATCTACGGATGTGAATCTCTTTTAACAGTTTCTTGACTTTTCCGTGGATTTTGGCTGTTTGTTCGTAATGCAGAGGGCAGATTCCTGGCCGTGCACGGGAACAACGGCGGCGGAGAGGCGATAAAGTTAAAGGCTGACACGGGCAGAACGAAACACGTTCTCTCGTGGTCTCCAGAGCCCTCTGTTTGGTGGTAAAAGTGGATGCTGGAGATGAAATCTTTACAGGGAGCATAATCCTAAAAAAAAAAAAAAAAAAAAAAAAAAGTCAATCTCCTGCTGGCTGCTGTGCCGCTTTGGTACCTCGCAGACTTCGACAGAGTCCTGGACGAGTGCCCATTGATGTCATGGAAACACTCAAATTACTGAGAATGATTCATGTCTATGCTGTTCTCTTATCCTCCCCCACACAAATAGAAGTAGATTTTAACCCTGACAACTTGTAATTTGCAGCGGGTTTATTTTTGTATCCGGATAAATATTTTTTAACAACTGAAATTAAGACGAGGCTGCCGGTGTCTGCGCTGCGCGGGTGCTGGGCTGCCGTGGCCCTCAGGTTGCTCCCGGCACGCAGCCCTGCCCCACTGCCTCCACTTATGGGGCTGTTGCGTTGGGGGCCTTGGGCCGTGCGCCTCTCCTCGTTGTTCCCATCCCGAGTTGTTTCTGCAGAGGCTTTTGGTGCTCGGAGCCCAGGGGGCCGCATGGCGGGTGATGTGTGGTTTCCCCGCAGCCAGGCACGAGGGCTTCCAAAAGTTGTGATGTGTGCAGACGCCCCCCTGCGTCGCCGATGCGTTCGGGGGGGTTCCTGTGCTGGAGGGAGGAAAACAGCAAAAGCAATGACTAGCAGGCGGCCAGAGGAAGCGGTGCGGTCTGGTGTTGTGGTGGGGGAAGATGTGCTCGGTTCCCCTGCTGCGTGGGGCCAGCAGTGCTGCTGGGGCACGGGAACGGAGCGGGCAGCCCTGCCCAGCCGCAGCTCCGCGCTCTGCTGCGGCCTCGGTGCTCGCGGTGCTGCTGGCCGTTCTGCCTCCCCCCGTGGCTGCCCGCGCCGTAAGGGTGGTCTGTTGGTGTCAATATGTTTTGTATCAGCCCTCTTGACTGCTCTTTGTCTCCCTAGCACGTGGTGTAGTGCTACTCAGCCATGACTTAATGCTCTGCAGAAACCACCTCTTTCCTCCTTGGTTTTGCTCGAGTCTGCCCATTCAAACCTGAAAGAACCTTTATTTTCCTTTGTAAATACAGCGTGGCCGTAACCAGTGCTGCGAGGCAGGCTGCCGGAGCTGCGTGCCGAGGGCAGCCCGGAGCAAAACCCAGCATGAGCTCTGGTCTGTGGGGCCGGCAGCGCGCAGCAGCAGCAGCGGTGGGCCCTCCCGGAGCCGTCCCCGTCCCGGTGTCACTGCAGTGCCTGGGCAACGGCCGCAGCACGAGGCGCAGTGCAGCCCTGGGGATGGGCACTGCCTGGAGAGCTGTGCTGGGCTGGCCGAGTCCTTCTGCATCCCATCCTGGGGCGGTGCAGCCGGGATGGACAAGTTCATTGCACGTCGCCATCCTCGGCAGGAAAAGGCGTTCATGCTCTGCTGCTGCCTGCGTGCTTTGCACGGCCAGCAGCGCCTGTTTTGTGCATGTAAGCAGCGCTGGGAAACGTGGGGAACATCCTGTAAAGCACTTGGAGAAGCTGTACGTGCACATGCGATCGCGTTGGTCATACGTCTCCTTCTTCTCTCCCAACAGGTAAAACAGAAAGGGGATCATACTCATCGTACGGAAGAGACTCGAGTTTGCAGGGTTGCCACCAGGTAAGCGGGATCCTGCTCGGCGAGGCGTGGTGATGAGCGCTGTGAGAAGAAGGGTCTGCAGCTTCGTGCTGTGCCCCTCGCGGGGGGCTGCCCGGCCGGAGGTGTGGGCAGCCTCTGCTGTGCTGCAGGGCGGCCGCCGGTTGTGGCCCTGTGCTGATGGAGCCCCGAGGGTCCCTTCCGTGCAGTCCAACCTCAGCAGTGACACAAGTGGCAGCGTGTGGAGAGCTCGTGTCAGCCCCCGGCTCTGGGTGGCTAGCACTGTAAATCATAGTTTTCGCAGGATCTGTACGATGTTGTGTGAAAACAAGGTTGTACTGAAGGGATAAAAATGTCTGTGGAAATATGATTTGTTGTCCCTTTTTGTTTCTGAATTGTTTTTGGCTGGAAGTCAAGGCCAGCAGGCTAACAGCAAAGCCGTCTCAAGGGAAGCGTGCGTGAGCTAGAGAAATAAGAGTAGTTTAATTAAATAATAAAGTGCCAGTGCAACACAAAGGTGCAGTGCGTGTGCACGCGCCGCTGCACGCTCTGCATTTGCATGCTTTTAGGTCTCCAGAGAAAGTCTGAGTCTAAAAATACTATCGATAGCCAAAAGTCCGTCCTTTGTTTCGAGACAATTGGTTTCTTTACAAGGCGCTTTCTTTTTAATTTCAGTTGCAGCATTAATCGTGCGTTCACATTCATTTTGCTCGTGGAGGATGCTGGGCTTCCTTTCTCTAAGTGCGGCAGCCTCTTACTTTGGAAAAGTATTGGAAGAATTTAATAGCCTTCTTAATATTCAAAGCTTTATGCTGTTTGAATCTGCCAGGACAAAAATAACGAGCCACGAAGGCAGCCAAAATGCGTATTATTTCCCCGTAGGAAAGGGAAGTGCTTGATCCCTTCATCCCGTGTGCGTCGGTAATGTGGGGCTGAGGTCTGTTGGCGTATTTTGGAAGCAGCCCTCGCGCAGCACAGAGGAATGGATGGGTTGGAGCCTGTGCGGATTTCCTCGTCCTGAATGGGGCCGGATGGGCAGGCAGACAGCAAAGCGACGGGCTTACAGGTGTGTGGAGCTGCGTGGTGGTGAAGCTGGCCGTGTTCGAGGCCAGGTTGGATGGGGCCCTGGGCAGCCCGGTCTGGTGTGAAACATGGAGGTTGGTGGCCCTGCCTGCAGCAGGGGGTTGGAGACGCGTGATCCTTGAGGTCCCTTCCAACCCGGGCCGTTCTGCGATCCCGTGAAGTCCTGCTCGGCGTGGAAGGAAGGCAGTGCGCCGTGTGTCCGCCTGTGGCAGAGCGGGGGCTGCAGGAGGGGCCTGGGGGCGCTGCCTTGTCCTGGCCCCGAGCAGCGATGTCAGTTCTCAGCTGGGCCCCTGCACTGGGAGCTGCTCTGTGCTCTTCAGTTTCCGTGCTGTACAGGGAGCCTTAGTGTGGCTTAGTGTGGCTCCCGTGCTCCTGTATCTGTGAGTATCTGCTGGACTTGGTTCCATCATAGAATCGTGGAATGGATCTTGGGGCTGGAAGGGACCTCAGGATCACTGAGTTCCACCCCCTGCCCCACACAGGGCTGCCAGCCTCCAGGAGGTGTGTATTTCCTTGAGTTTGGCGATGAGCGGTGACCGATAGGAGCAGAGGGCAGCGGGGCTGCTGTGGGCTGAGGACGCGGTTTGGCAGTGCTGGCCGATCCCAGCATCCTTGCCTTCTGCTCATGGCTTTCCCTCTGCGTGCAGTGAGGGTGAGCTTGTTCCAACAGAGCAGGTGTGGAAGGATCTTCCAGCCCCGAGATCCATTCCACGATTCTATGATCGAACCGAATGCAGCGGATGCTCATGGATACTCGGGAGTGGAGGGCACGCAGTTCCTGGGCTCTGACGTGACCTCGTATGGCGCTGCCTGCAGTGCTGGGAGAGGCACAGAGGTGGTGGGAGCCCAGACTGCTGGGCACAGGTTGGGCAGCGAAGGGCTTTGGGCTGTGGATGGGGCAGAACTCGGTGCTGGTAAGACTGTACCCCACCACTTGTGTGCAGGTGGTGAAGAGCTGATGGAGAAACGCCATCGCCCAGTGTGCCTTCTGCTCTTTCCTTCTGGTTTCGCAAGTGAAAATTTGAGGCATTTTAGGTATGTATTTCAAAATACTACAAATAACAAAACCTGCAGACCATGGAAGGCCTTTCTTTCTGCCGTGTGCATCCACTCTCTTGAAGTGTAATGGAAGAGGGGATGAAGCGTATGACCAGTACCCAGACAAGAAGGAGAAGAATGCTGCCAAAATAAGAACCTCTTGAACTCCTGGAAGGTACAGAAGGAACAACGTGGAGTGCTGAGGGCCGTCTATTGTCTGCTCTTCAGGCTGCGCCACGAGCAGAACCGACGGCGTTATTAACAAGTAGGAACCTTCCGGCGTGGAAGGAAACCCAAAGCTGCAGTTCTGCTAAGGGATTTCTGGGATGTGCTGAGAGATGGGCTTCCCTGGGCAGAAGACAGTGAGAAAAAGGTGGTGGTTTCCAAGGAAAATGGTGCTGGTGGTACCGCAGATTGCTGAGAGCACCCCGAGCTCAGAGCAGCCGCAGCTCCGCACGCTCCTCCCCAGACCCAGGAGGAGTGTGCAGATTTTGTTGATTCCTGAAAGGTAAATTGCTACCTCCAGATGTGATGCATTGCTCTCTGTAGATGAATTCCTGGAACAATTAAGGAAAACTAAATACTTAACGATATTGAACTTGCTACCTATTAATCTTCTGGTAGGAAAAAGCCAACAACCCCTCTTTGTGCGAACAGCAGTGATGCTCTGAGGTTTCCTTTCTGTGCACTGCTTCTACTGGGGAGAGGAGAGGTTGATGTGCAGCTGCCGTTCCCTCAGGATGGCTTTTATTCCTGAATCAGGGGCCCAGTGCTGCTCCTACAGAGGATCATGGCAAGTGCAGCGCTGATGGCAGTGGGAATGGAGGAAGGCTCGTCGTGGGAGCTGTTTAATTCTGTCGGAGAGAAGTCAGCTGAGGAACGTGCACCAGAGTTGTTGTCGAGGCACTTCTGAAGCACTGACTTTGGTGAAGTGAATGACAAAAACCTCATTGTGTTCTATGAAGTCAGGGTTTTACACGTTGTCTTCATTCTCTTCTGCTCTCTGTTCCCCCAAAGATCAGTTCTTTTCTGGCTGTGCCGGTTCGGGGCTGCTGGCAGTCCTTCATTTGTGCCACTTCAGCCAGGTTTCTTGCCCTCCTCTGTGTTGCTGGCTGACGCTGCAGCATAGGTCACAACTGCAGGACCGTGAAGGTTGGAAAAGACCCCTGAGATCCCCAGCCCACCCCACTGTGCCCCCTGTGTCCCCGCGTGCCGCATCCCCGCGGCTCTGGAACACCTCCAGGGATGGGGACTCCACCAGTCCCTGAGCAGCTGCGGTGCCGCAGCACCACTCTTTGGAGAAGGAGTTGTTCCTAATAGCCATCCTGGCCCTCTCCTGACACAGCTGAAGGCAATTAATTACCTGTTGTCCTATTGTTGTTAATTTGGGGAGGATGCCAGCCCCGATCTGGCTGCAGCCTCCTTCCAGGCAGCTGTGGGGAGTGATGTTGTCCTCCCCCCCCCCGATGCTTCCTCCTCCCCAGACCCTGCGTGGGGGTCTGTGCATGGCAGCTGCAGGCAGCAGCTCAGTTTCTGTGCTCAGAGAGCCTCGGGTGGCACCGTGCTGAAGCCGGGCCAGTGGGGCAGCAGGATCTGCTCGTCCTCCATGGCAGTGGCGGTGGCTATGGGCAACCCTGAGCTGCCATGCTTTGCTGGGCAGTAGGTAACTCAAAGTGAGCAGTAAACGGAGCTGTGCAATGAGCCTGGTGGACAGAAAGCGTGCACCAGGGCTTCCAAGAGATTGTATGTGGGAGTAGACTTGGGACTATTGGGCAATTCGGATTATGTCCTTTTGGGAAATGAGGACTGAAAGGCAGCCTAGCTTTCAAGGTGCTTTAGTTTATAGCAGAGTCCCCAGATCCTGAGCTATGGTTGTTTTTACTATTAAGACTTCTCAGAAGTGAGCCTGGGTGTTGTTTTTGGACGTGACGTGCAAGAAATACAGTTGGCGGAGCTTGGAACCATCCCAGTGCTGAAGGCTGGGGCTGGGATGAAGTGCGAAGGTAAAAACGAGTGGAGTTATGCAAGCTTCGCCGGCTTTCCTTTTTTTCCTTTTTTTTTTTTAAATATCTGCTACCAAAATATAATAATCTCCATCCTGAATGAGATCATATCTGCTCGCCTTCAGCCTGACTCGAGGCGCTGCTGCAGGAAGGGCTGACGAAGGAAATGAGAGATGCAGCGTTTAACCCCTGCAGCAAAATGGTTCTGTCTGTGCCGTCCTTCCCCGCAGCCCTTCCCCACCCTCGTCCCCGCTGCTCCCCCACCTTGCTCTCCTCTCCCACCTCTGGAGCAGGTGGGGGCAGAAGGACGGTGAGCGATGGGGCCTTGAGATGCTCAGGGCCGTGGCTTCCATCCGTGTGCATGGAGGGAGGCTCCGCTTTTCAGTCTGTGAATGTCTGCTGCTCGCTGAGGAGAAACGAAGGGCGCCTGCAGCCTACGGCGTTGGCTGAGATTTCGTATGGGCAGGGTGGAAATGTTGCTGGAGAACTCTGCAATGAGCATAACGGACGTGGAGAGAGCGGGGCGGCTCCGGTGGCAGAGGCGTGTGGATGAATGGAGCCCAGCTGCCTGCCACTGTGCCCAGTGAGCGAGCAAACCTGCGCACGACAGCGCAGTCAGGCTGGGGAGGGAATGGGCAGAAAGCCACTGGCCCGTTCTCTTCTGCCTCCCAGAAGTCTTGGGACTCCCTTTTTTCTGCTGCGAATTATTGAACTGTGGCAACATCTCCGATTGTACGAAGAGAAATCCAGCAAGGGGGAAAGAAAGCGAGAGGAGCCATCTGACATCTGTGCGCTCCTGACAGGTCCTGCTCCGCTGCTTCTTCGGCTGGGATGAGCGCGTGCTCTGAGATCGGGTTGTGACGTGAGCCGCTGCCGAGTGCCTCCTGCAGGAGCGGCTGT